GTATGCTGTTTTAGATGACCAAAGCAGTCACTAACTCGCCACAGGATTTAAAGACTTAAACCTGGGAACGGATACCCCACCTGTTCAGAGAAGTCTGGGTTTACAGTGGAATCCATTAAAAGGACACCTTTGGCTTTCAAGTCAGCTCTACAGATATGCCATTTACCAAATGTGGTTTTCTCTCAGTGGTGAACAGCCTATACCAGTGATTGCGAACCCATGGCATGCGTGCCACATAGGGCACGCAGAGGCCCATATGGTGGTATACGAACCTAGGTGCCAGTTTCCAGGGCCCGCGCACAGGGCCGGCGCTAGTGCAAGGCAAGATGGGCACTTGCCTTACGGCGCCAGGGAACAGGGCGGAAAAGTTGCCCGATCGAGACCAGACTCTCAGTGTGTGGGCTGCCGCTGCGGGCGGGCGGCATCTGAAGGATGCGGGATCTGAAGGATGCGGCGCTGACCTGTGCAGTGCAGTCTCACGTCTCAGACTCAGTGACACTCAGTCTTACTGAGTGTATCGTCCTTCCTTGGCTACGTCAGTGAGTGACGTAAGGCCCTGCCCCTGGTTCCCCTGGCCGCTCAGCCGCATGTGAAGGACTGGAGCGAGGGCTGCAGGAGGCGGAGCAACGGACGGACCGGACCAGCAGGCAGTGTGGCGGCAGTGGCGTCATCCTGGAGGCGACGGCGACCTGTTGAGGGACTCGGGAGCGCCCGGTGCACAAACCGAGCGAGGAGGCGATTTCACCCTCTCTTGGTGACCCATGGTCGGACTCGTATCGGGAATCGGGATCGGGAGCTGGCTGAAGTGGGAGCGGTATGTAATGTTACAAAGACAAAGTGCACGTGGTATGCTGCATTGTATTGTATTATTTTGTATTGTATTGTGCATTGTATATACAGTATATTGTATTGTGTATTGACAATACACAATACAATATACAATGTACAATGCACAATACAATACAGTATTGTATTGTGCATTGTATAATATATTGTGTAAAGTGTATTGTATTGTGCATTGTATATTGTATTGTGCATTGTATAATACAGCGGCACAATGCTGAATACCACCAGCTATAGAGGAACAACAAATCCCAGCAATAATACATTATACAGGCTGGTTAATATATTATTTCTGGGATTTGTTGTTCCTCTATAGCTGCTGGTATTCTCCATCGCGCTGTATAATGTATTATTGCTGGGATTTGTAGTTCCTCTATAACTGGTCAGTGGTAATCTGCATTGCGCAGTATAATCATTATACAGCGCAATGGAGAATACCACCAGCTATAGAGGACTACAACTCCCAGCAATAATATAGAGCTGCAACATTTAGTCGATTAAAATCGACAATGGAAAACGTTGTCAATGTTTTTCATGGTCGATTTGTCGGCAAAAATTTTGATTTCCCGCTCGCCTCTCACGCCCGCCTGTTCGCAGCTCCATACACGAGTTACGCTGCGTACGCCGCGCTCACCACACAGGCCGGACACACGCAGAGCTGCCGCCGCGACTTCCAAGGGTTCGGAAACAGGTAAGGGGGACCTGTTTTAAAGTTTCCTGTTTTAAAAAAAAAAAAGCGGCACACTGCAGAACACAGCTATAGATGAACACCAAATCGCCTGAGTTGGCAAAAATCCTTGCACCGGCCCTGCCCGCGCACTCTAGGTTCTCACCAGGGGTGCTCCATTGTGGGCCTCCGGTCTCCGACTTCCCTGCTACACTAGCACAACCTGTCAAAAGCTGGATACAGCATGTGCGCTGTGTCCGGAGACTGACAGGTTACGCAAAAAGTCTTAAACATGAAGGGTTTGGGCAAATTTAGATTGGGGATGCCAGAGTTTTAACTTGCCTAGTGCAGCCCCAAACCAAAATACACCACTGCATAGAATGATGAGAGGTACCTGCCTTTGAATATAATGCCAAAGATTGTTGCATCTTGGTGCGTGGCTGTGCCTGGACACCCTCAACCAACTAGTTAGATTAATCGGTTAAATCACTTCAAAGTGGATATTATTTAATGATAATTGCTGCTAATTACTACATACCAATATATGTTCTGAACTAAATGAAGCTGTAACATGATATAAAATGTGTTACACAACAGGGACCCATTTGTTATTACTATAGTTGCCTATTAACATTGTATCACACAATCTTCTCACATTTGTGGCATGTTTACAGGTTTTAAACCAGACTCACTCCTCAGCAATGTGAGAGATTACAGACCATTAACTTACAAAAATTATTTACTGTGTGCTGCAATCCGCAGAAGCTGCCTGTACAAAGTGCTTTTTATTTTTAACAATAAGCGTGGATAAACATGGGGTTAAAAGAGTAGAAACCCTTCTAAATAAAAAAAAACCTCATAGAGGTTAGTTGTGGTAATTCACATTACGAGTTGAATTTTAAACTATAATAATGACTTAAAAGTGACAATAAAGTCCTCCACCCCATGCTGGTGTAAGGACTTACCTTAAATGATGCCTTTTGATCCGACCATCATCTTCTTTCCTGTAGTTTTCAGGAGTCCCTCCAGTGCTGGTGCCGGTCTCTGATCAAGCGCTGACTGCTGTGTCTTCCTGTCCCACGGAGTCTATGCGGGTTCACGCTGTCAGGGTGACTGCCTTGACTTACCCTACGTCTCTCCTCTTCTCCCGGCTGAAGATCTCTACTGCGCATGCGCCCGCCCCATTATCCTTTATGGCCGCCTGAGAATCCGTTAGTATATGTCCTCCCGTAACCCTAAAGAGAACTATGGGATAAAAAGGTTACTCCATAGTTGTCTTTTAAGGTGGCCAAATGCCGGGCCGGACGGCATCCCTTGATCAGCTCATCAATTGAGCCGGACGGAAAATAACAAACAGTGAAAGATAGCAGGAGATTCCTCAATCAATGCTTGTAAGCGTTCGTTGATGAAGGAATCTGTTCTATTTTTTTCTTTCAGCCCATGGGTAGAATGAAGAAAAAAAAAATAGAACAGTGCATAGCCAGCTTTACCCTACTTTCCTAAATAGTTACGCTTGTTTCCTGACTGGTGAAACTTGCTGGAAGAACATGAAGTGAGAGAAAATCTCTGAAATGGAGCCCTGAATAGCATAAAAAAAGTGTTCTGACACCTCACCACTATTTTCAAAACCATCAAAGTTTTGGTTAGAATAGACATACACCGGAATGTCTTGCCTGGGTCAAGGCAGCAAAAAAACCTAATGCCAGTCTTCACATCTCTCCACTGTTTCTATAAGAATTGCATAAAGAGTGGTCAGCAGAGGAAGGCTCAAGTACCGCACTCACAAAAACGTATACCCAAATCAAATGTCAGAGCCTCTGGCTCAAAAAATAGGGTTTTTTTTAGGCACATAATGGAGCCTTCAAAATATATACTTAAAAGCATAAATCTTATATCACTATGACCATTCTTTAAATATAGCATTTTTATTACCTATTATCACTAGTAGTCATAACTGAGTAAGAGCTAAAGTCATGTTTATGGTAACAGTAGGGTACCTTCACTTACCATCATTTCTAATTTATAATCCACTGCCTCCAGTTGCGATTGCAGTCCGGTGTTAACCTCTGTTATTATCCTTAGTGGTGAGACAAGTTGTTTTACATGCTGGTTTGTGAGTGTGCCATGATGCCTTTCTACTGTTTTACTGTTCAAAGTCCATTTCGTGTGCACCTTACTGTATAACTGGTGACAAATTGTTGAGTGCGTTTGTCGTTTGTTTTGCAGTCCGGTGGTGTCGCTCTTTGGACTGGTGAGACTCCTCCTACGGCCCCCCTGTGAGGGAGTCTGTATCCGGTTGTTCCATGAGCTTACATTGATATGGAGCATATCATGTTCTATTGGATTGTTGCAGTGTATTTACTATAATGTATGTTTAGTATACTACAGAGTGCTGTCGTGTCCTTCTGAGTAAGCTTGTCAAATCTTTTTGCACTGATGAAGAGACTCTGTGTGGCCCCCGAAACGTTGGCTTTTTTCATTGTGATGATCTGTCCAAATAAATGGACATATTGAATAATATTACTGAGTGCTGGTGATTCCTGTCTTCTGCCTTGTGTCTGCACGGCGCCACCCGTGGTCATCACTGCGAGCACCACTGTTGCATATCCCGGGAGCGTTGGTAGGAGTGCGGAGGGACTTTCTATCTACCTACTTCTGAGTAAGCTGACATCAGCAAAACGCATTGAAGAAGTCACAGCCAATATTGCATCAGTGTGTGTTGAAGTTGCTATAAGGGACTTTATGATATGACTTGCTTTATTGGACATACAAGAGATTGTTTTGTATATGAACCAGCAGTTAAATAAGTTTTATCTTATGTCTTTATTGTATAAAGATTTATGTTTTTAAGTATATCTTTTGAAGGCTCCATTATGTGCCGAAAAAAAAACCTATTTTTTTTAGCTCTGAGGCTCTGACACTTGATTTGGGTATATGTTTCCAAAACTAGTGTGTAGCTGGGCTTCAAACTTCATTACGACATACACTATACATATTGGCAATATACAAATTCACAATAACAAAATCACAAACAGTAGAGTATAATTTAAAAAAGACTGTTTTCTGGACATGGCGTTTGCTAATAGAGCTTTTCAATAATTTGGAAAACTATGCCTAACTTACATTTGCAGTTGGACATTTGTCTTCATCAGTCCAACCTCTCAAATTCTTGCCTCTTGGAGTGTTTAGCTGGATTTCTATAGTAACCTCCAGGCACCTTCTTTCAATAGGAAAAAATGGTGGTGCGCTCTCTGCCTCAGGTGGATATGTACTACAAAAAGAGGCAACTATGGGCTTCAATAGATCACTTTGGGAGAAAATTCTAGAGTGGTACAGGCTGAGCCCCTACATATGCCCTGAATCGAGGAGCTGCTTTACCAACTCCACCAGCTGTACACTCCTAGAGTGAAATAGATAGATAGATAGATAGATAGATAGATAGATAGATAGATAGATAGATAGATAGAATTTGAATATTTCTGAAACTCACCTTCCAATCTCAGAACATTTTCCAGCATCTGTAGCTACAGCTGCTGTCCCATAGATCTGTGCACTCAGGGTAGTCTCCCCAGGTTTCGAACGCAATCCAAAAAAAAGTCCCAAGAACAAAGCAAGTGCAACCAGTACAATGAGCAGAAATCCTATTATGAGATGACGTCTCCGCATGGCGCTGTGAATGGAGGAATACAAAAGCAGTATTGAAAATACACATCATCCCTCTATGAATATAATTGTAATAACAGATATGATGATGATTTACCCTATACAGATAGCTGGTATTCTGCCCCACCCAGGACCTGCAGGTTCATTCCATGAAACTCTCGCTTTCATTCCATTAATATAGCAGGAGAGGTGCAGAGACACTGGGCCTGAGCTGTGTTTTTGCAGCATGATCACAGTGTCTCTACTTGACACTACTTGAAGCTGGCAGTGGTTTCCTGGCCATCCCCTGACTCAGAGGGTGCCAGCGATGCCGTCAAACAGGGCACAAAAAAAACATCTTAAGAGAGGCCTAATTTGCCAGGTCAGTCTCATCAGTTAATAAATAGCAAAATGTTCAGTTTAATAAACAGAAATAAGAAAAGATTATAAATCTTTCTGCTTTTCTTCTGGCAAAACAAACACAATTAACCACACAATAGTGGGAAAACCTCTCAAGCAGTTCAGTGAAGTATTTTTCATAAAAGAAAAGGCATATGAAATGTCACTGTGGCATTTAAAGTAAATCCATTAGTTGATATTACGACTTGGCAACTTTAGACAAGGGTGGCATATATCTGAAGCTGTGACTATTTATGGCCTTTGGCCTACTACTTCAGTTAATATAGATTGGAACAATTTTAAGTGAAGCTTGTATGACTCTTAGCACAACACAGCCAATGGACACACACAGAAAACACCGTAATAAATGCAAAATATTGTGCTTCTACTTTATAGTGAACCTCTGGTTTACCTGTGGGTAAAAGTAAATTACAATGCTGTGGAATGCACCTCAGCATACATGTTTTGATGGAGAAACTCTCAAAATATTGATGCTTTATGTAAATCCTGACTTGCTCAATATTGCTATTTGCATAGGCGCAGTACATCTCCCATATGATAGTGTCCGGATCTGCTAACAGGCAGCTTGAGGGTTAGGCATTGTATTGTGGACAGGGGAAGGGCTAATCTCCAATACAGAAGTGCAGGAGGTTCTGGAGGCTCCAAGCAGCAAGGAGGTGAGAATGTCTGTATATCCAGTTATGTCTTACCCCTGCTGGCATATATTACCCCTGTTTGCAATGCTTTCTTGGGGGTTCGGGGGGGCTTTCCAGTGGGAAACAATAGAAATCAATAGCTATGCACTCCTTGGCTGAACATTGCATGCAACAAACACCTACGGTAGCAAGGATCAGAACTGCAAACCAATTATCCATCTGCAAAAGCCCTTGGTGCTTTAATTTATGTGAATAATGTTACTTTGCTCTAATAAAACCTTCTATAAACTTCAATTTTGTCTCTTGCATTTGTGACCTGATGCACATGCTAAATAGATCAGGGGTAGCCAACTCCGGCCCTCCAGCTGTGGTGAAACTACAAATCCCATGATGAATCTCCCTTCGGGAGTCATGTCAGTGGCTGTGAGAATCTTGCAATGCCTCATGGGATTTGTAGTTCCACCACAGCTGGAGGGCCGGAGTTTGGCTACCCCTGAAATAGATTCTTGAAAGCCTACAAAGACTTCCCTTGACCTGACGTAAATCATTTTAGTTACCTGCGGTACCCTTTTTATTAGCTCCTATATCTCTGTGGAACTATCTTAGATCCTTTGATCCTTCCACGCTGATCAGCGTGGTTTGGGGCGTTTTTAATTGCACTTCATCGGTGAAACGCAATGATAAACTCCCAAAACTTCCCTTTTGAAATCAGCGCGGTAACCACCCTGGTGTGAATGGGCGCTAAATCAGATTGGGGTGCTGCTGCCATATGTATGCCAAGCTAATTGCAAAAGAAAGAAAAAAAATCAAACCCACACCCAAGTATGCACTGCCAATGTACACTGTCACTGAGACTGTTTCTGAAGATTGTACTCTTCTGTAACACTGCAAACAGCTTTTAGGAATCCAACAACCATGTTATTGTGTATTTTCAATGTTGCCATTTGAAGCGACATGAAAAGACCCTCTCCCCACTGTATGGTATTTTTTTATTTTTATTTTGTGTCGCCCACAACAGTGTCCAGCTTCCCATGCCTTTTCTGGACAGTAGTTTGCCTATTAGCCCTAAAAAGGGCAAGAATTTACCAAAAGTTTCACCCTACTTCGACTTTAATGGAATTTACCTCCATGTTCAGTTGTGCCGAATTTTAAATAAGATTTGTTGAACCCTTGAAGAACTGAACCAGGACAGCTTCACTCTTCACTACTCTTCATCACTCTGCTGTCTATCAGGATCAGCAAGCATCCCCCTCCTCTCCCCCTTGCTGTCACAGTAACCTTTAGTTAGGGTACTGTCACCCACAAGGTGAGTGGACAAGAGGGTGTATGAATGTTGGTGCTGGTTTATATAATTTAGGGCTTAATCTTCATGGCTAAGCCTTTGGTTTGTGCATTTACATTTAGAAAAAATATATAGGACGTGCAGACCATTTAATTTAAAAACTGTTTAGTGCACATGCTAGTTTGAAATGTGATGTCATTCATGTTGTTTGTTATGCAGCCTTGCAGATTGCAATGTGCCCTTAGTAATATTAGGGTGCGAAACGGAAAAATCAAGCATTATCACACTTAATTTGACTGCTTTGTTTTTTATGTGCATACCTCTGTAATATTGCTGATGACTGCACTTTTTTTTCTCTCTTTCTTTTATCACATTTCTGTATGTATGATTGCTATTTTACATTTGAAAATTTATATTTGAAAATGTAATAACATTTATTACACAAAAAATATATAATAAAGGGCCATGGCCAATAAATGGCCCTTTTGTGGTATGTGTGTATTTATTTAGTTAGTTAAAGGTTATTAGTATAGCTATTCTGTGTTAATGGGCTGTGCAGTACCATGTGCCTGATGCCACCTTCCCATTCCTACACCTCCTCCCCTGTAGCCAAGGATCAGCAGAAGGGCAATAAAAACATACTTACTTGCAGCAACAGTACCATTTCTTCTCTTCCATGTAGTTCCAGGTTTCATGTGCCCAACCCTTGTTTCTGACTGAGATCTGCCAACAGCATCAGCAGCACATGGCAAATTCACAATACACAGAACAGAGAACCTGCACAGCCTCCTGAGAGCCCTCTCAGCCCATCTGAAAACCTGCATAGCTCACAGCCCTCCCGAGAGCCCCGACAGCTCACCTGGGAGCACACAGGCCCACCTTAGAGCCCACACAGCCCACCTTACAGCCCGTACAGCTCACCTGAGACCCTGCACAGCCCACCTAAGACCCTCTACAGCCCACCTGAGACTCTAGAGAAATCAAGCCACCTCCCTGGAGCAACACAGTATGTAGCTTCATATTATTCTGCATTGCTTTATAATCTATTGCTGGGATTTGTAATCCTCTACAGCTGGTGGTATTCTGCATTGCTGTATAATGTATTGCTGGGATTTGCAATCCTCTATAGCCAATGCCGTTCTTAATTGCTGGAATTTGTAGTCCTCTCTAGCCGGTGTAATTCTGCATTGCTGTATTTGATATTGCTGAGATTTGTAGTCCTCTATAGCTAATTATATTCTGCATTGCTGTATAATGTGTTACTGGGATTTGTAAACCTCTATGGCTGGTGGTATTCTGCATTGCTATATAATGGATTGCTGGGATTTGTAGTCAATCTAAAGCTTGGAGACAGTGGCAGAACTTCCAGGGTCGCAGCGGTTGCAACTGTAACCGTGCCCTGGTGCTCCACCAATGTCCTAAAATCATTAGTCTGTGTTGTTTCAGAAAAACTGTCATATGACACTAAAAAGGGTAACGGTAATTGGTATTGAGGTACTTGAGGAAAAGTACCGGTACTCATACTGGGTCTGGAAAAAATTGTATTGGTGCATCGCTAGATAAGAAATATAGGCTATTCTTAACAATGACTGTATATCAGCTGTCATCAAGAATGATGCATCTGTCATGTTATACCTGTATGTGCTCTTCCTACCAATATTAAAATGTAAGCTGTACACAATACATACAGTTTGCCAGTAAATACAGACTCACAGTTTTGTTTCTGGACCCGTTCATGGAAGAATTAGGCTCCATTCACACAGGAGCAGTTGTTTGCACGTATTCTGCCAGCTGAATATGCGCAGAGCCGCTCTAAACACAAAAAACAATGCACTTTATTGTGCATTGTTCAGACTCTTGCGCGTCAAAATAGTACAAGCGTTATAATATGGCGGATTCCGCATATTTGCGGCTATATAATAGCCGCAAACAAGTGTAATCCGTGCACACGGAAAACCATAGGTACATATGAACAAAATTTGCCTTCATTCTAACAGTAATTCGTGATTTTTTCAGGTGTTTCATGATGCAACTTATTTCTTGCCAGCATTTTGTTGATATGTCCCTTTAAGTGTTGCAGCTCTCTCACGACATATTACGCCGCCTGACAGTTACTATTTTTGTTGTACTATTGTGCTTTAGCCACTTGTCTTACTGCCGTCCTCCGCCAGCCAGCGTCCCGCTGTTGCCATGACATCCATTGATCCAACATCCACACATCCAATCACTGTTGGTGTGTATATAGATTACTGTGTTTCACTTGCATTTATCACTTGGTTGCCTGATGAAGGGGATCCTGTGAGACCCCGAAACGTATATTAGATTATTATTATTATATTATTGTATAGAGTGTTCTACTTGCAACTAGTACGTTAATAAACACTTACTGAACTTGCTTTGGAGTGCCGGTGTCCATTCCAGGGGCATCCCGAGGCTGGGTGACACCCGGAGCGGTAACCGAGTGTCACCCCGCCGAGACGTCACTGCGCATGCGCGTGACAGCACCACGTGTGTGCGCGATGACGTCATCGCGCACGTGCGGCAGTATTCTGATACCTGCCGGCGGCCATCTTGGTGATGGACGCCGGCAGAGAGAGGAGGGGACAGTCACCCGGCAGGATAAGGTATGCCGCCGGGTACCCTCCTCTCTCCTGATACTGTCGGGCGTTCGGTCCATGACTGAGCGCCCGA